CCGTCGCCGCCGCCGCGCTCGCCGTCGCCGCCGCCGCGGGCGCCGTCGCCGCCGGCAGCGCGGCTGCGGCTTGCGGTGGCGGTGTCTGCGCCTGGGGCACTCCCGGGGATATCGCAGACGAGCGGGCGGCCGCTGTCGCCGGGGTGAGCTCGGAGCACGGGGACTGCGGGCCGTGGCGCAGGGGTCTCCAATTGTACGCTTCACAGCCGACCTGCTGTCTTGCAAGCAGCTACGAAGGCGGGAAAGCCACTATCACCAGATATTGCAGAATGTATATGACACGGCCAGCAAGCGCACTCTCGCCGTTCAAGTCGATCCCCCCTGTTAACTGTCTGCCCCCTCTCGAGTGATCCCTCACTAGTCATCACTGTGTGCGCTGTCGCCCCTGCCCCCCCAACAACCAAAGTGCGCCCGCCAGGGAGGACGAGGGGCGGGCGCTGTTCCGAGACATGGACACGTCCCAGGGGCCGGCGGTGGTGCAGCAGCGCATGCAGCGGCGCCGCGACCGCAGCCTGCTGCTCAGCGCCCCCGGCGGCGCGGCCGAGCGCATGGAAGCGTGGGTGGCGCTCGCTGGGGCAGGGGGTGGGGGTTGGGTTGGCGCCGCCTGTGCCCCGTCTCATGCAGAGGGCGGCACCCCAGAAATGCGGCTTGTTGCCGACAGAAGATGCAAGCTTGATCGCACTGACAGCCAGCACACATTGTCCACGCACACCACACCACAACCCACACACACACACACACACACACACACACACACACACACACACACACACACACACATACACACACACCGTCATGTATACACACAATCCCGCATCTACCCCGCACGCAGCGCGTCCGCCCCTGTCCCATCCAGCTACGTGGATGCAGAGGCGGCCGACCTGAAGGCCCAACTGGCAGAGGAGCAGCGGCGCTCCAAGGAAGCCGCCGCGCGCATGGCGGCCGACCTGCTGTCGGCACGGCAGGAGCTGTTGGTGAGGTGCTGCCTGAGTGGTATAATCTACCTCAAACCATGGGCAATGGAAATCCTGCGTTCGTTCTGGGAATGCTGCGTAAGGGGGGTCGAGGTGGACAAAATAAGCTGTGGGAAGAGGGAGTGAACGGCGGACTGCGGGGGCCTTGGAGCCGGGCGGCAAGCAGGACGTTGGCGGGCGCAAGGGAGGGCGATTGGACAGCGGGCAGGGGGAAGGGGGGGGGGCTGGGGCGCTGCGGGCGGCGGCTGATTTTCGCGCCCGGCGTGTGGTGCATGCAACAGTCCTCCCCGGCAGGACGCACCCGTTTGCACGACAGCCCGCGCAGCCCCAGCTCCCCGCCCTCACTCCCCGCGCCCGCCGCGGCTATCTTGCCTGCCCCAGGCCACCAAGCGCACCTTGGAGCAGCTTCAGGTCAACGCACTCCGAGCTGGCACCGCCTCCAGCGACCCCGGCGCCGGCGGGGCGCGCCGGCAGAGCACGGTCGCGCCGGCGGGGCTGCTCGGCGCCGCACTCGCGTTTGCGCCCGGCGCGGCGGCTGCGGGCCGGGCCTCGACGTTTGGCGGCGGCGGCGTGCTCCTGGCGTCGGCGACGCGCGCGTCGATGGCGGCTGCGGAGAGGCGGATGGTGAGGAC